TGCAGGAACAGCAACTCATATTCCGCTTGGGAACCCTGCAGCCCAATGGTATCAATGTGGATTTCACAAGTTTCAAAATCTCCCCTCCCCCTACCGCATCCCAAAACCAGTCCAGCTCGTCCCTGCCTCCCTAACCTGTTCTTCCTCCCACCTATCCCCTCCTCCCACCTCAAGCCGCACCTCCATCTCCTACCGACCAACCTCATCCCGCCCCCTTGACCTGTCCGTCCTCCCTGGACTGACCTATCCCCTTCCTAACTCCCTACCTACACTCACCTTTACTGGCTCCATCCCCGCCTCTTCGACCTGTTTGTTTCCTCTCCACCTATCCTCTCCTCTATCCCTCTTCTATCCGCCTCCCACTCTCTCCCTATTTATTTCAAAACCCCCTTCCCCTCCCCCTTTTCTGATGAAGGGTCTAGGCCCGAAACGTCAGCCTTTCTGCTCCTATGATGCTGCTTGGCCTGCTGTGTTCATCCAGCCCTGCACCTTGTTGTCTCGGATTCTCCAGCATCTGCAGTTCCTACTATCTCTGAAGCAGTGTCAAACTTGTTTTTAAAAAAAAACTTGATTTAACCTGACTTGGAGTACTGGGTACAGTTTTTGGACTTGCTTAAAAAGTACAAACACTGGCATGGACTGGGTGCTGAAATGGTTTGTTCCTATAATGCACATGTTCTGTAACATACCTTCTGTGTAATTTTTCCAAGAAGAGGAAATACATTCAAATGCTACCAAAACAAACTCCATCATACTATCACTTGAAAAGGACCAGAGACCAGTTGCTTATGGACTATTTAACCAATTGGCATGTACTTATTCAATAGTCTTTTACTTTTTTCCATAAACAACATGTTTTGATTTCAATTAAAAAATAACACGCCAAAGAACTGCACATGCTGGAAATCAGAAATAAAAAACAGAAATTGCCAGAAAACTCAGCAGGTTTGGCAGCATCTGTGGAGAGAAAGCAGAGTTAATGTTTTGCATCCAGTGACCCTTCAGAAGTGGGTCTGTTTGATTTGAACGTTTGTGCCTGGATATCAGAATTGAGGAGGTAAGAATGATGAATCCCATTCCCTTGAAGTTTTATGATACAATCTGAATCACTTAGTTCTTAGAGATATTTTAGAAATAAAAAAATAGCCTTATCTATAGAAAATGCTATTTTGCAATCTGACCTGTTCTTCCTCAGGAGTATAAAGTCTGTACCATAATATCATATCTGCGTATCTCATCTCCTGACAGAAGGTTCTGTCACCCACCCCCAGAGGTCAATCAATTGAAATGATTTTCTAGACGGAATTTCTAATGAAAATGCAAATGCATTTTGTGAACATATTGTATGAGTTCTTTAGAAATATAAAACAGGAAATCTTCCTGTATTTATTTATGGTGCTGCTACATGACACCCAGAATACTGACCTAACCATATATTCTGCATTATTCATGCTTCACTGGTACCTGTCCTACACTGAGTACTTGTGCTTTGTTATTTACAGTGGAATAATCATGTTGCTTTCTTGCTTTCTAAAGGACATTGAAATAGAGGAGCAATCCCATTTTGCCATGGTGAACTCAAAGACTGCAGCTCCAACTGTGGTGGTAAGCGCATTGTTCAAGGCCCTCAGAAAAATGGCTGCACTTTTTGATGCAATCATTACTTGCAATTATGTGGAACTCTTCGCATGAACTAATGTCTCTTTAAGGCATTATGAGGGATCAAGAGAATGCTGAATGAAAAGTGAAGAAACGGGGGAGGGAAACTAAGAAGATGATTAAGCAGACCTGTTCTACAGAGGCTTTTGAAGCCAAAGAGGTAGCAAAATTAGAGTGGCTTAGAAGAAAATTTCTAAGGGCATAAGATGTATATTGGCTTCATGTCCTAAAGAGTTGGTTTTTAATACTTTTTTTTTTGATACAGCCATGTGATTATTTTGATTTCTCCCAGTTAATCAGTTGAGGAGGCTGCCTGACTGCAGCAATGATGCTTAAGCTACGTTTTAAAACAAAATATACTTGGAATGTGGGTGATGTTGGAATGAATGCATTTATTGCTTAGTCATGCTGAGGTTGTGGGAATCTTGTAGAAGTGTTGTAATCATTGTGCATGTACAAGAGTATCAGGAGGGGAGTTTCATGATGATGACAGATGGCAATACATGTCCAAGTCAGGTAGCATCTTGATTAGGAGGGGAACTTGCATGTAGAGGTGGAAGAGCAGAGAATCAGTATTTTTCTTCTCATGTTTGATGTTTAATAAAATCCATCTGGTCAAGAGGAAGAAATTACTTTGACGACATGAGCGTTGGATTTTGTTTTATGCATGTTTTAATGAGTTTTATGATAGTTTGACCCATTGTACAAAGAAAATACTTCCTTACCAAAACCAATAGTTGCTACAGTGGCTTTTCTTTTGTAGCAGCTGATTTTGAGCCAAACTGAGAAAGTTCTGGAAGAAGTAGACTGGCTGATCACAAAACTGAAGGGCCAGCTGAGCTCTGACAAAGAACTGACAGGTAAGTGAAAGGGTGGAAGAATAGATAATTGTATGTCAACAGTGAGTACTGTATAATGTGTCAGAGAATCACTAGTGCAGTAACTAAAGTTGCTCAGGCCTGTAAGCGAATAGCCATGTTTTGGTTTTAGTTTCGTCCCATTTTAGTTTATCAGTTGGAGGAACTATTATAATTGGCCTCAGGTTAGTACTGAAAGTGAAATATTTGCAACACTTGGAAGAACAGTTACAATTGTCTCATTGTTCTAATTACTTGTTTTCACTAATAGTTTAAAGGGATGATCATTTACCTGGTCTTCTGACAGCTTTGCCCTTAAAGTGAAATATTCACAACTAAGGAAAAACTTTTTTTCCAATACCTTCCCTGTTTTCTTTTCTCATCTTTGTTCCAGAAGGCATTGACTCATACTGCGTATGATTCTTTAACCATCCACTGTCACCCAAATTATTATTTTCATGTTCCCTTGTGCCCTCTCCAATCTAGCCTGTCCATAAGACCCACTTTCTACTCTGCTCCACTCCAAAATGTTGCCCTGATGTTAGCTGATTGAACAGTTATCTCCTCCAGTATGTCCCCATCCCCTTGAGCTTTGCTGCCAAGACCAGTTTGAATGAAATACATCTTTGTGTTAATTGACTGTGAAATGGAGGTGACTACAAAACAGATGAGGACTGTCTTTATTTATCAAGGAGACTTCAAGGGTGTAACTCAAAACTGTCAGCAACGTGTCTGCTCATTTTAAATATTACAGTTATTCTCTGTTCTAGATGAGAACTCTCAAATATCAACGACAAGAGAACCTGCAGAGAAAGCTATTGTCCTTCAATTGGGCATCCTTTTGACTGCTTTCCATGAGCTTATCCAAACATCCATTCCAGCTGGGAGCTGTGTGGACACTCTCTTGAAAGAGCTTGCTAAAATGTACAGCATTCTTACCTCCTTGGTGAAATACGTAAGTATGCAGAGCTCTACTGTTGCTCAATTCTGACCATTCCTGAATAAAATAAACTGGACCATGATTACAGTGTGACAGAGGCATTATAAACCATATATTCAACTTCTCTAGGTGGTTTTCCTTCTAGTTTCTGCTCAAGATTGTATGCAATAGTGGTATTAAAAAAAGAGTGAAATTGAATTGAGTTGTATCACCACTGAATGGTCCTAACTTAAATTTCCTGCCTTATTTATCAGTCATGGTGGCAGAGACTGTGAGAGCAAAGGAAACAGAAGTATAATAAATATTAAGGAATAAGTTTTTTTTTTAATTCTTTCATGGGATACGTTCATCATTGGCAAGGCCAACATTTGTTGCCCATCCTTAACTGTTCTCAGGAAGGTAGTGGTGAGCCCCCTTCAAAAACTGCTGTAGTCCCACTTTTCTGTGGCAGTTTAATACAACACAGTTCCTTTCCGGGCCATTTCAAAGAGCAATTAGTAGTCAGCTATTTTGATGTAGCCTTGGAATCATATGTATGACAGACCAGATAATGATAGCAGATTAGTGAATCAGATGGGTTTTTACGACAGTCACATCACTATTATTGAGATTAGATTACAATTCCACATGTTTTGTTTAATTCTTTGAATGTATTAATTAATAAAATTTGCCATGTCCCAAAATATTATACTGGATCTCTGGATGACTAGTTTGTCAGATAATTGTAAGAAACATGGTGCCTTCACTGGTGGACAGTTAACAACTTTTATACCAAAGCAATCAGAATGAGTTCAACCAACCAAATCACAACTTTGTGACATTGTTCAATCTCAGTGTCAGGATCCAAATTGATTATACTGCATCTGTTTTTTTTTACCCGATCCATGCCATATTCCGTGCTAAATCAGGAAACAATCAGTTTCCCTTTTTTTGAACATTTCTTGGGCAATTTGCATGAAGGAGGATAAACTGCTGTTATGGTGTCTTCCTTCCTCTTGAGTATGAATTTATCAATCAAATGGGATTGTGTGAGTTGTGAAGAGGACCAGGCAGGAGCACCCTTGCTTTTACAGTATTACTGAAAAACTTTTCTTTTGAATATTGGGTAATTCTAATATCTGGGGATCCTGTCTGCCAGGAGGGACCAAACATCCTGACTATATGGGAAAATGCTTCTTTCTTCTTGAATATAAGATACTGTAATTTCTCACATATTTTGTATTCCCGCCCAGTATATTCAAGGTTACACTGGTCATGTGGCACATCTTCCTGCAAGATTTGAAAAACTGGTAGGTATTAAACTATAGATATAAGGTGTATATTTCATATTAAGATTTCACAATTGCATTGAAATGAGTATAGGCCATTCAACTGCTCTAGCAAGTTTAACCATTATGTTAGTTCCTGGTTGATCTGTAATCCAACTCCATTTGCCTGCTTTTGCTCCATATCCCTTGATTCCATTACCAATCAAAAATGTACGACCAACTTGTTTTTAACTGCATCTTATGAACCGGTACTCTCAATAAACCGGCAAAAATTTTATACCTGAAATACCAGAAATTTAGTGTATTATCACAATCTCCATGATGCCCGAGTAGTCTACTCAGAGAGCGAGTTAGAAGGCTGTCTGTCAATAAGTTTTAAGGCATAGTTGCTTATTACTTAAGTGATTTACGTTGTAAATGAAGTATAACTGTGATGTGTATGTCTCTGCATAATGTTTCTATTACTTAGTGTGTATTTTTACATTGAATATGTGGACTTCTTGATCAACTGGAGTATTTGATCAGCTGACACACTCCTGGTCCCATAGGTTCCAGTTAATAAAAAGTTGGCTGTTTATCAACCTCTTAATTGAAAATTTCAATCCGTGTTTTGTGTTTATAGTTTTTATTGGGGTTGCAAGAATTCAAGGTCTCTCTCTCAACACCCCTTCAATTGAAACATTCTTCCTGATTTCATTTCTGAGTGACCTAGCTATCACCTCAAGATTATGTTTACTTGTTCTGAATTCTTCAAACAGAACAAGTAGTTTGTCTGTATCTAATATTTACTACCTTTATCATCTCAAATACCTTGACTTGGGTCACTTCAGTGTTCTAAACATAGGGAACACAAACCTATTTCATACAACCTGTGCTTATAATTTAACCTTTGCGGACCCGGGAGCATTCTGTGTTTTGGTGAATCTGTGCCAGTCTCTCTCCAAGGTTAATATATCAAAATAAGAAACCGTGCCTAATACTGAATGCAGTATCCAGATGGAATCTGATTAAGCCCTCTGTTCAGCTGAAGAAAACTTCCTCAGCTTTGTATGCCAGCTCTGTTGAGATAAAGTTGATAACATTCTATTTGACTTCTTGACTGCATTTTGTATTGGTGCACAAGCTTGTTTCTTTTCATTCATTCACGGGATACGGGCGTGACTGGCCATGCCAACATTGATTGATCACTCCTAATTGCCTTCGAGAAGGTGGTGGTGAGCTACCTTCTTGATCCACTGTTGTGTAGGTAGACTCAAGGTGCTTTTAGGGATGAAGTTTCAAGATTTTATCCCAGCAATACTGAAAGAATGGTGCAGTTGTTCCAAATCTAGATGGTGTGTGAGAGTGGGGGCAAGGGATCTTGTGAGTGGTGATGTTCCCATGTATTTGCTACTCTTGACTTCTAATGGTAGAGGTTGCAAGTTTGGAAGCTGCTGTCTAAGGTACTTAGTTGCAGTGCATCTTGTAGATGGCACACACTGTTGTCATGGTGTGTCATTGGTGGAGGAGATAATATTGAAGGTATCAGATGGACTGACAGTTGAACAAGCTTCTTTTGTCCTGACTGGTATCAAGCTTCTTGAGTGTTGATGGAGCTGCACTCATCCAGGCAAGTGAAGAGTAGGACGTTCTATTACACTCCTGATTTGTGCTTTGTAGATGGTGGGTAGGTTTTGTGGAGTAAGGAGCTGAATTATTCACCATAGAATTCGCAAGCTGTGATTTGCTCTTGTAGCCACAGTCTTCATATGGCTGGCCCTTGAGGTATTGATTGTGGGAGGTTCAGCAGTGATAATGCCGTTGAATGTAAAGGAGTTATGTTGTGATTCTCTCTCGCTGGAGATGATCAGTACCTGGCACCTATGTGATGTGAATGTTACTTGCTGCGTATTAGCTCAAGCCCAAGTAAGGCTTTTCTGATGAAGGGTCTAGGCCCGAAACGTCAGCCTTTCTGCTCCTATGATGCTGCTTGGCCTGCTGTGTTCATCCAGCCCTGCACCTTGTTGTCTCTATTGTCCAGGGCTAGCTCCTTTTGGACATGGACTGCTTCAGTATCAGAAGTATTGCAAATGGTGTTGAATAATGTGTAATTATCAGTGAACATCCTCAACTCTGGCCTTATCATAGAAGTAAGTTTGCTGATAAACTTGGTTGGGCCCAAGACACTCCAGCTGTGATGCCCTGCGGTTGAGATGACTAACCTTCAACAATCACAACCATCTTCCTTTGTGCTCTGTATAACTCTAATAAAGCTTTCTCCCTGATTCTGCTGGGCCTTCTTGATGACATACTTGATTAAATGCAATCTTCATGTCAAAGACAGTCACCCTCAACTCTCCTTTTGAGTTCAGCACTTTTGTCCCTATTTCGACTAAAGATGTAATGAGGCCAGGAGCTCAATCAGCTTGATGGAAAACAAACTGAACTTTAGTGAGCTGGTTATTGCTGAGTAAATACTACTTGATTGCACAGCTAATGACTTTTTCCATCACTTTGCTGATAGTTGGAACTGAGGGGTGATAATTAGCCAAATGGGATGTGTCATGCTTTTTGTGACAGGACATATCCGGATAATTTGTCACATTGCCAGGCAGTTGCCAGTTTTGTAGCTGTACTGGTACACTTTGGCTATGGAGTGGCCAGGTCTGGACCACATCTTCAGCACTATTGCCAGAATGTTCTCAGTGTCAATGAGCTGTGCAGTATTCAGTACCTTCAGCCATTTCTTCATATTTTATCGATTTGAATTGATGGAATGCTGAAATCTGTGAAGCTGGGAATCTTGGGAGGAAGCTAAGAGGGTCATCTACTTGTTACTTCTGGCTGAAGATGTTTAGCTTATCTCATGTATTGTACTGATGTGCTGTGACCCCCTTCCATTGCAGATGAGCAAATTTTATGAAGCTTCCTCCTCCTCCTCCACTGAAATGTTTAAGTGTTTTTCACCATTCATGACAGAATGGGACACAACTTAAGAGATCAGATCTAGTCTGTTGCATGTGGGATCACTTAACTTTGTTGCATGCTGTTTGGCGAGCAAGTCATTCTGCATCAGGTTGACACTTTATTTTTAGGCATGCCTGATGTTGCTATTGGTGTGTCCTTCTCCACTCTTCAATGAGCCAGGGTTGATCCCCAACTTGGTGGTAATGGCAGAGTAGGAGTACGCAAGACTGTGAAGTTACAGATTATGGTTGAATACCTTTCCGCTGCTGCTGATGGCCCATGTTGTCTTATTGATGCCCTGTCTTAGCTGCTAGATCTGTCTGAAATCTATCCCATTCAGCATTGGTAGTATAAATGCAAGCCAAAATCCCTTTGTTCTTTTACAGCTCCTAGTCTGTCCTTATCCTGAAAATACTCCGATTTCATTCCCACAGGTTCAAAATAGATGCCGCAAATTCAGCTTAATCTGCTATAGTTTTCCCCACAATACTTAGCCTATGATTTTACCTCACCATTTCTTTTTACATAACTTACCATGCCTCTTAATTTAGTTTTATTTGTATGCTTGAATATGCACCTCTTTTCCATTATCCAAGTCATTCATATCTCTGATGAAAAGTTGAGGATTCAGTACATAGTCCAGGGATTTGATCAGAGAACATTCTTTTTATACTTACTCCCAGTCCCCTAGCTCCCAACGAATTACCATTTCCCGTATTAAGATTACGTTCATGTTTTCTCATCTTTGATTACCTTGTGTGTCAAATGAATGCTTTCTGTTAGTATATAATGCATAACATACATGAGCACTTCAGTTCTAAAGATGTCATATTGAACTCGATTAAAAACTGTTTCTTCCTCTACAGACAGTATCAGACCTACTGAGTTTTTTCAGCACTTTGTTTTTAATCCATATTCACTCTTCTGTTTACTATACTGATGTCAAAGTTCAACTAGATTATTCAGATATGATCTGTTCTTTACAAATGCCCACTTTACACTCTTTGAACAATCCACATTTGTTCCCACACCGAATTATTTTTTCCTAATAGTAAACTCCAATAACTTGTTCACATATTAAACTACTAGATCTGTTGGCCTTTTCTCACTTCCTAAAGGAGTGATGTTTGCAGTTTTCCAATCCATGGGCACAAATCCTGAACCTGAAAGACTATTCTGACCAAAACATCTGAAATTCCTTCACTTCTTCATGTCTTTTCATATCCTAATACGTTTAAATTAAGTCCACAAATTTCTACATATTACTTTTAGATTTCCCTATACTAGTTGTATTTCATCCTTTCTTCACCAGGGAAATAGCTTAAAAGGTATTCATTTATAAGCTTTCGATTTGTTTATAAGTTTCACCTGTACCTGTGTTTATCAGATCCACATTTCCCTTTACCGCACTAGGTTATCAGGGGATGGGTCTGGGTGGGATGCTGTGAGGGTCGGTGTGGACTAGTTGAGCCGAATGGCCTGTTTCTACACTGTAGGGATTCAATGAATACTTCTCAAATTGCTATCCCTTGCAAATATTTTGTTCATACTTCTTTGCACTTCCCATTACCTTCCTCATATTTCAAGACTTCTGATTCCCAGATAATTTACTGGGCAAAGGACCACAGTACAATGTGGTTTCTTTCTCAATCACTATATATTTAGAAACACTGGGGACGTCATGTTTGTTAACAAATGAAGAACACAATGATGAAGTTTGTATCCAAAAGAATAATTGTTTCGACCACAAACCATGTTAAAAAGCAGTTCTCCCTCTCCAAATATAGTGGGATTAATAAAAATAATGCCTCTTAACAAAAAGTTACCATCTTTGCTGTTGTTTTATACAGATTGTAAATTATATGTCAGTTTCAATCGCTGGTAATGTCAGTTATTGCAGTCTTTTTACATGTAGCAGAACCACAAGGGGGCAGCAAATCAATGCTTTAGTAGTTTTCCAAGCTCACTGGGGGAATGGTTTGAAACAGTATGATTTCCATCAATTTTTGTTCGTTCATGAAAATTCATGGACACTAGCAGCATTTCAATACCTCATCCAAGTCATAAAGTCATACAGCCTGGAAATAGACCCTTCGATCCAACTTGTCAATTCCAACAAAGTTCCCCAAAACTAAACTAGTCCCACTTGCCTACATTTGGCCCACATCCCTCTAAACCTTTCCTATCCAGGTACCTGTCCAAATGTCCTTTAATTGTTGTAACTGTATCTACCACTTCCTCTGGCAGTTCATTCCACAAAACGAACTACTCTGAATGAAAATGTTGCCCCTCGCAATCCTTTCAAATCTTTCTCCTCATGACCTTAAAAATAGGTCTTCTAGTTTTGAACTCCCCTACCATTGGGTAAAGGCCTTTGCTATTCAGTATCTATGCCCCTCATGATTTTATAAATTCCAAAAGGTCACTCCTCAACCTCCTATGCTCCAGTGTAAGATGATCCAGCCTATCCAGCCTCTCCTTATAACTCAAACCCTCCATTCCGGGAACATCCTTGTAAATCTTTTCTGAGCCTTCTCCAATTTAATAATATCCTTACTATAGCAGAGCAACCAGACCTGTACACAGTACTCCAAAAGTGGCCTTGCCAATGTGCTGTACATTGATATTATACACCAGAGTATCTATCCAGAGTCACTGGTAGAATCAGCTTTCTGTTTTCATTAATTTATTCCTCTCAGTCCAGCTTTTCACCATTTTTCAGATTGAGGAAAGATTGGATAATTTGACCCTAGCCTTCCACTAGTAATAAATTAGAAAATGATTAAGGGTGTCCTAGGATTCTTTCCGTGGGGATACAGTTAATCGAGTTTTGCATTCTTTGTTGCCCGTCTTTTCTGGTGCAGACACTACTGGGTTTTTGTCCAGTGGGACATTGTAACTGCAATCTGCAGGCCTGCCATCTAAGGCATACCACATTCAAGAGACTGCATTAATATAGCACCTTTAATGGAGGAAAAGGTCTGAAGGCACTTTGGAGGCAAAAATCAAAAAAAAAAAAAAATTGATCCAGATTGATCTTCAGAACAGGCTCTTAAGAAGGGTAACAAGAGGATTGCTCTAAAAATGATGTGGAACAACTCTGCGGTTCACACATCATGTTCTGCCGTTGAATGATCTGCTTTGAGGTTCTGCCAGTGCCATCAGACCACATGGATAACCAAGAAAGCATCATGTGTTGCTCAGCTCCTGATCTTGATGAGACCTACACTTTCAACTCAACAGAACTTTCTGTACTGTGAAGCTTGGCTCCTCCTGCACCTCAGAGCAAATCTACACCTCTCTACCATGTTATGTGTTGAAGTTTTCATCCTGTGCCTTTGTGGTGCTTAGTATATAGTACGTTATACAGTCATTTGAGAATTGAAATAATTAATCTGTTGCCTTTAGGTTAAACTTTCAGGATCACACCTGACCCCACAGTGCTATGCTTTCATAACCTATGTTCAGGTATGTAACAATTTATTTTTACTATTCATTCAAGTATTTTGTTATGTTTTTCCTGCACATTTTAAGAAGCACTTTAATATTTGTTGCAGGGGCTAAGTGTTGGGATTTTGACATCATTAATATTGTACATTCAATAACTTTGCAGATGGCTACATAGAATAAAATTGGGCAATTTAGTCTTTTTTTCTGTTAGCTATCTACAGAAATAACAAATATATTTCCCCAGTCTCAACACTATATGATTCTGTGGGCACTAACTGCCTTCCAATACTTCACCCAAATCAGATTTTTATGAAGGTTTGAGGGAGGAGAAGGACATCATAACCAAGCTAATGGTGTTCTCACCTGATGCATATACATGTACACTCGAGTAAGACTCATTGAGTAGTAAATCGAAGCATGAATTCAGACTGGTGTTTCTGTCAAAGACAAGTTGTGATGTCTATTATCTTGATGAACTTGCGATGGAATAAGGACTGAACTTGAAATCCACTCAATGTTTTGTGGCATACCACGCAATTTATTTATTCTGAGTTAATGTAGCCCATTTAATGTAAATAAATGATCTTGTTGCATGTAGATTGTTACAACGGGGAATGGCCCAATTCCTCTAATAATTAAACTAAAACATAAGCCCCAATCTGCTATGATGGAATTAGAGGTTCCCTTTTAATAATTACCCCCGAAACACCCAGAAAAGCTCGCCTTTCCCCTTGTAATCTGTTTACAAGTAACAAGAAACAATTTATTTATCTAACCAAACCGATTCCGGGGTTGGCGGGTCTGACATACGAGCAGAGATTGACTAGGTTGGGATTGTTTTCACTGGAGTTCAGATGAATGAGGGAGGATCTAACAGGACTGGATAGGGTAAATACAGGGAGGATGTTCCTGATGGTGGGTGAATCCAGAACCAGGGGTCACAGTATGAGGATTCAGGGCAGATGATTTAAGATGGAGATGAGCAGACATTTCTTCACCCACAGAGTGGTGAGCCTGTGGAATTCATAACCCCAGGAAGTAGCTGATGCTAAAACATTGAATGTATTCAAGTAGTAACTAGATGTAGCACTTGGGGCGAATGGAATCAAAAGTTATAGGGAGAAAGCAGGATTAGGCTACTGAGTTGGACGATCAGCCATGATCATGAAGAATGGTGGAACAGGCTTGAAGGGCTGAATGGCCTCCTCCTGCTCCTATGTTTCTAACCCATCAATAAACAAATTAACAAAATTACTCACAAACCAATAATTCCCCCTTAGACTACTCCCTAACTGGTCTTAATTCACCTGGAATGTTGTTTAAATGAAGAAAAGTCCCACTAATATAAACCCAATTAATAAGAAGCAATAAATTATAACTTAATCTCTCCAAGTTTGCACAGATTGTCTTCTGAAATATTCTGTTGTCTCCACTCTCTTCACAAACGCCGTTTCTTCCATTAATTCTACTGTAATTTCTCATGTTAAGGACTTTGAGCTAAAATACCATGATACCTTTGATTAATTGGATGTGCTTTCTCTGAGAGCTGAATGGTGCTAACTCTGGCAAGTGGCACTCATCTCCTTTTTAGATGGCAGTTAGTTCTCCCCGATTTTCCAAATGCCCTCATCTTTTATACCCGTAATGACATAATCACATTCTTATAATATGATTGGTTTCAGGTTATCAACACCATCAGATTTAAATTCAGTTGGCTGTTCCTGGCTAAATAAAAACCAAAAGAACTGCAAATTCTGTAAGTCAGGAACAAAAACTAAGTTGCTGGAAAAGCTCAGCAGGTCTGGCAACATCTGTGAAGGGAAAAACACAGTTAACGTTTCGGGTCCGGTGACCCTTCCTCAGAACCCACCAATAAACACCAGACCCGAAACGTTAACTCTGTTTTTCCCTTCACAGATGTTGCCAGAGTTAACGTTTCGGGTCTGG